GTGCGGTGAAGGTCCTTGGCTGCCCACCTGGCAACAAGTTCAGTGCAGCACTAAATGCCAGGTGCTGGTTTAATTCTTTTCATCTCAAGCACTCTTTACAGAAGAGTATTATTAATACTGAGCATTTCAAGCAGTTCCAAGCTGATAGTCCACTGTGTTGTGCATGGACATGAAAATCATCTGGAAACATCTTTACATTTATTCCTTCCCCTTTCTTTTCTGTTTCCCTCCCCCACCATCTTTTCCTGTTTTCTGTCGGGGTTTCTTTCCCCTTTTGAAGCTCGAGCTGTGTCTGTGAGTACGTGAACGCCTGCATGTAATAGATCCCTCTTCTCAAACCTTTTGATGGTCTCCAGCGCTGGGAAATTGCATCTGAACCGCAGCTGTATCTGGGGCATGCGTTTGACAGGGAGGTGTCACGCTGATCTTTCTCCTAAGCAGATTTGCAAGGAGCTCCTCCCCATGAAGACAATACAGTGGGTGACTTCGGGTTTCTAGTTTCTCCTCTGTATAGTAAAAAGGGAGAAACTGGCAGTTCTGTGACAGTAATTTTGTCCTGGGATGATGTTGCTGGCCAAAGCACCAGGCGGTGGAGTCCATGAAGATACAGACATTTGGGATGAGGAAACGGACGCGTTACTAATTCCACTGCTTCCAGGGAGAAACTGAACTTTGGCTGAATTCAGGATGGCATTTCACCCCAAAGGGTTGATATTGTGAAATCAAGAGAGAAAAAAAAAAAGAATCTCTGGGTGCCTGCCTGTGAAAGCAGCTGTTGCTGGGTCCTCGGAGTGGGTCTGCTCTGGTGTGAAAGGAATTGCTATAGGTTGTAGCGCAGTCTATATGTGGAGGGCCTATATGGCTGATTGTGTGGGAATGAATCTCCGCTGTGGCACGAGCAGCTTCTTCCAGGTCTTCTTTTCTGAGCCAGCAGGCAACCTTGCTGCTTATTTATTTACTTATTTACAGCTTTAAATAGTTCATGGTTGAGTGGGGCAAAAAGAAATGTGTTGCTGCTTCTCCGAAAGTCTGCTTGGCAAACAGTTCAGTCCATGGGATGTAGATTTTTTGTTGGTGTTTAGCCAACCTTTACGGTCTTGGGAGAACACTTAAATCCTGTCGTTTTGCTGTTCTAAGCAGAAATCATTCTTGAACCCCTGAAGTCCCGCTGGGGAACATCTTAACTCGCCCTCAAATGTTGTCCTCCTGAAAGTAAATAGCCTCTCAGCTGGTGATTCCCGTAAGATAATGAATGAAATTGGAGATTTGTGGACAGCCTGATGGTTTAATGTGGAGAGGGGAACCCCAAGCCCAGCTAAATATAGTCCCTTTATCAATAGTCCTTCTGAGCTGTCCTCTCTTACGCATGTCTTTTATGATTGGAGACTGGAGGCTGATAGAGCTTTGAAGTATCCAATTTCTAAATGCTGCTTGGCTTTTTCAAGAGGTAACAGCCCGTTTCCAGAGATTCTCCTAAATGACCCATACCCCAGCTCCCTGTAACAGCGGGTCTGCAATGCGGTGACCCAGCAGCCTGGGAGGGGACAGCCTTCTGCTGGGACATGGGTTGTAGGAATTGGGATGCTCTCGGGCAGCAGAACTATAGACGTTGTCTGTGTGGAGTGTTTGGCCAGCTCTGTGGTTTTGGTTTTTCCCCTTGTTCTCTTTGCCAATTTTCTCCTGTCCAGAGGGACTGCTGGGGTGTTTTCTTCATGAGCTGAAAACTGAGGGGTCTTTACTCCCTGGGTCAATTCCTACCCTTCTGGGTTGCTCTCTGCTCTGTATGGGTGAGTGGAAGGATTTTCACAGCACACTTACCGTGTTCTGCTGGAAAAATCCTGGCTTTCCTGTATCTGCTGTACAAAGGCTGCAGACAGCCAGGGGAATATTGTAGCCAGCAGACAGCATTGGATAGCTGTCGGAAAGCTGATGCCCCTTTGCCCTCATCCATATGGAAGACGGGTTATCATCCACCTCTGTGTGCAGTAAGATCCTTCTAAAAGGCTATGAGGTGGATATTTATTCTTTCAGTAACTGCCTTTCAGAGGAAAAAAAAAATGCAGTGTGGAGAAATCAAGACCCAGTTTGTTCAGAGTATGCTATTCGCGTTGACGTGCCTGTTGTAGCGATACTTCCTGCGTGATGGAAGATGCAGCTGTGAGCTCCGATAACCCCCTGAGCTCTCGCTGAGCAGGTGGGAGCTTGGAAGGAGACACTGACAGGTTTTTCTGTGTAAAATATGCCTCATTCTGAGTGGTTCTGTTTTTTCTCTTTAGCTCAGTAGCTGGATAGGGGAAGCGAGGAATGTGGTAGGGGCCAAATTCTGCTCTGCATGGATCTGCTTCTGAGCAGTGCCTATAACAGCACGTCATGGGTGCAGTTGGTTCATTGCTGCAGTTAAACCCTGCTTAAATTGAAGCCTATGTTTGAGCACCTATGAAAAGTGCAGTCAATCCTTTTAGTTGCAGGCTCCTGAGGTTCCTAAGGGTGCTAGATTTTAGAACAAACACATGAGATGAAATAGCTGCTGCCTGCAGTTTCTGTTCATCTGATACGGGTGGGATGATGCCAAGTAGACTGAGTTGCAGTGGGGTGTGTTTCTGATGCAAAGAATTAGTACTTGCTGCTTTCCTGCTTGTGCCCAGCTATGGCAGGATTCAAGAAGCCCCCAAAACAAGCTGTTTGGAAGTTGCTGAAGAGCTTGAGCAAGCCTTGCTGGTGAGGTGGCTGCACACCAGAGTTCAGAGGCTACTTTAGTTTCAGTTTAATGGTCTGCCTAGCCCTGTCGGTCTGTGACCAGTGACACCCAGTGTTGTAACTCAGCCCCAGGAGAAGCCAACTGAAGGGGCTGTGGCCTCCTCAGCTTTCAAGCTTGCAGCTATACTGGGGAGCAACTGGTGCCTGTAGTGGGACATGGTGGTATGAAGAGCAGTCCTTATAGGGACTGGACTGGAACCTGCCAGCTTATTCCCTGGGTGCTCTTCAATACACATTGGATAGAAATATTTGGTTACCCAGTGCCCTGAGCAAGATGTTTGATGTTAGAAGCCTGAGATAAACACACACGTATAAATATACAGACATATATAAGTGTGTGTGTGTATATATATGTACAGTGGTTCTGCTGCAGCTTGTATAGACACTTTTAATTTTGAAATGACCTGTTCCTTCCATTCTGACCAGTGGCTTTTCTAATCCTAGTGTCAGAAAAATATGATGCTGCTTTCCTGCAATCTTTTTGGTTTATACAGCTGTCCTATATAAATTGCTTAAATTTTTTGTGCATAAGCAAATCAAAGATTAACGTTGAATAGCTGACCTGAGCTGAGAGCAAAGAAAGCAGTAGCAGTGGCAGGGTGGTTTCTGAGGTTGTAGGAATAGGAACCTAAATCAATAGCTTTTAGCAGATTCATAAATGTTTAATTTGTATTCCTCGTTTTAGCGTTGTAGAGCTTTGACACGGGAATCCATAAAACCTCTTAAATTAGTGTTGTCCCTGCACTGGGTGTAGATGTTGAAAGCCATTTCCCCCAGATGCACTTCGAAGTGCTGCTCCTTAATGGCATTTTCCTTCCTGTTTTGGAGCCTTGATCCTGCGTAGCCTCTGATCCCAAGGGAAAAGAGCTTGGCAGCCTCAGCCCCAAGCTGCAGGGATTTTGGCGAGGAGCATGCACATATCCAACCTGAATTCCCGCGGCAGTGCTGCTGCCCTGCGCGGAAGCCAAGTAGGAGTTGTAGCTGCTTGGGCACGCTATCACTTCTGGACAGAGAAGCCTGGAGGGACCTTTTCCCTGGACTGTGACAGCCTTGAGGAATGAGGGAGCCCTCGGGAAGACCAACCTCAGTAATTCATGGTGGAGGTGGGGAAGGAGGGATGTGACCACAACTATTTATTGAATTTGGACTCTCCTGGAGGTGCTGGAGAAGCAGCGGGGGGTAGGAAGCGTGTGAGCAGAGTGTGAGTCAGGCAGCTTATCTGCCCACCCACCTCCACTGGAGGTCATCCGCCCGGGGAGCGTGGGAGGGCTGCGCGGCTCCAGGTCCCTGCCAGGTCAGGGCGCTGACCCACCTGGGAGCACTGGGTCCACTCCTTGCCCTTTCTGTAGGAAGGGACTCTCTGCCTATCTGTCTGTCTGCTCCAGTTACATGGGGGACTAAATAGAGCTGGCTGAAGTATTTCGGAGTACATTAGTTGGATTTTATAATCTAAGTGCTATTCATTAGGTTGGTCCAAAGAGGCTGTCTTCCACAGGTAAGGATAGGTATCGGGTAGCATTTTAATGAAATATTAGCTAATAAAAGCCTTGTGTTTGCTTCTGCCTCTCTCTTAAAAGGCATAATTTAGGTGTTTCTTCTCTCTTACGCTCCGATGCGAATCTGTCCTGCAAAATGTTTAAGTATCATGAAGTGTCTGGTGAGTTTTATCAGTAAAAAGTGTAGTGAAGGGTTCTGGTAAAAGTTTATTCAAAGCGTTTGGCTGTTCTGGTAGCTAAATACTCCATAACTAAAACCAGTCACCATTGCCTTTCCTAAACCTGCAACCATCATGAAAATCAGCAGCCAAACTTGATTTTTGCTGAGGCAAGAACAGACCGCTGCCCTTTATCCTGGACTTCTCTCTTAATGCTGTTTTCTAAGGAAAAATAACTCTTCTGCGGTTTGCCAATACCCTCTAGAGGCTGTTGAGACAATTTACCATCAAGTTTGGGTTTTGTTTGCTTCACTTGGTTACTCCCTTGCTGAAATTGAAGTGCAGGATTTCCCCCTCACCCCATTCCGCCTTCCTGTTACATTTGTGGAGGGTGTGAGGGTGCAGCAGGAGACACGGGCTCTGCTAGCCAGGGCGCAGGAGCACCGGGGTGTCACCTGGTGTGTCACGTTTGAGGCCCGTTCAAGCGTGCCAGTCAGATGGGGTATATTCTCCGTGCTTTACATCAAGAAGGACAGAAGAATCATGGGGTTTGTGTTGTTTTTTCTCTGCAGGCAAGAACTCTGTCATCATGTCAGTCAGCGTCCACGAGAACCGTAAATCCCGAACGAGCACCGGCTCCATGAACATCTTGCTTTTTCACAAAGCTTCCCACCCAGACTGCGTCTTGTCCCATCTGAACACGCTGCGGAAGCACTGCATGTTCACCGATGTCACCCTTTGGGCAGGAAACCGGTCATTCCCATGTCATCGGGCAGTGCTGGCTGCCTCCAGCAGATACTTTGAAGCCATGTTCAGCAACGGCCTCCGGGAGAGCCTGGATGATGAGGTGAACTTCCATGACAGCCTCCACCCAGAGGTGCTGGAGCTATTGCTGGACTTTGCTTATTCCTCTCGGATCATCATCAACGAGGAGAACGCGGAGTCCCTCCTGGAGGCTGGAGACATGCTGCAGTTCCACGACGTCCGAGACGCAGCAGCTGAGTTCCTGGAGAAGAACCTGTACCCTTCCAACTGCCTGGGCATGATGCTGCTCTCGGACGCCCATCAGTGCCGGCGGCTCTATGAGCTGTCTTGGAGGATGTGCCTGGTCAACTTTGAGACTGTTCACAAGAGTGAGGACTTCAACAACCTTTCCAAGGACACTCTGCTGGACCTCATCTCCAGTGACGAGCTGGAAATTGAGGATGAAGAAAAGGTCTTCAAGGCTGTCATCCAGTGGGTGAAATATGACCTGGATGAGCGGAAGGCTTATCTCCCAGAACTTCTGAGGAACATTCGTCTGGCCTTACTTCCTTCTGAATGCCTCAAGGAAGCTTTGGCTTGTGAGGACTTGATCATGGTGGATGAAAGGAACAAGCTTGTCTTGGATGAAGCTATTCAGTGCAAGAAGAAGATCCTCCAGAATGACGGGGTGGTCACCAGTCCCTGTGCCAGGCCTCGCAAAGCTGGGCACACGTTGCTGATCCTGGGAGGCCAGACCTTCATGTGTGATAAGATCTACCAAGTGGATCACAAAGCAAAGGAAATTATCCCCAAAGCAGACCTGCCGAGTCCACGGAAGGAGTTTAGTGCCTGTGCCATTGGCTGCAAAGTATATATCACTGGAGGCAGGGGCTCGGAGAATGGGGTCTCGAAGGACGTATGGGTGTACGACACTGTTCATGAGGAATGGTCAAAAGCTGCCCCAATGTTAATAGCTCGGTTTGGGCACGGCTCGGCTGAATTGGAGAACTGCCTGTATGTGGTTGGTGGGCACACTGCCGTAGCTGGAGTCTTTCCTGCATCTCCTTCTGTTTCCTTGAAGCAAGTAGAGAAGTACGATCCCATATCCAACAAATGGACAATGGTGGCTCCCTTGAGAGACGGGGTGAGCAATGCTGCGGTGGTGAGCGCCAGGCTCAAGCTTTTTGTCTTTGGTGGTACCAGCATTCACCGAGATATGGTGTCCAAAGTCCAGTGCTATGATCCGTCTGAGAATCGGTGGACGATCAAAGCAGAATGCCCGCAGCCCTGGCGCTACACGGCAGCCGCTGTCCTGGGCAGCCAGATTTTCATCATGGGAGGAGACACGGAGTTCACGGCAGCATCCGCCTACCGCTTTGACTGCGAAACGGACCAGTGGACACGCATCGGGGACATGACCGCCAAGCGCATGTCATGCCATGCCTTGGCCTCGGGGAATAAACTCTATGTGGTGGGGGGTTACTTTGGGACTCAGAGGTGCAAAACGCTGGACTGCTACGACCCTACGTCAGACACGTGGAACTGTATCACAACGGTGCCTTACTCGCTCATCCCCACAGCTTTTGTCAGCACCTGGAAGCACCTGCCATCATGACGAGGGTCAGGGCTTGTATCCAGGAGGTCAATAAGGTAAGAGTCTCCTCCTTTTAAACTGAAACTTGCTTTCTTGCCTCAATTACTTCTCCACGCACCATGCTGAAGTCATGAGTTCTAGGTTGCTCATGTTTGATGAGAAAAGAGTATTTAAAGGGGGGATGCAGGGCCAGAAAAGGGTAATTAGCTCTGCCTTGTTGTAAGTCTTAGCTGGCTCCCAGGTTTCTCTTGTTGCCCTAGCATCTCCCAGGACTTGCTGAAAACAAGTGCTTTGGAAAAATCTCAGTAGTTCAATATTTTTGCTGGTGATTTATTTGGAGATGATGAATATGTAGGTGAGTGACCTTTGGGATGCCAGAAAATCCTGGGTCTCTTTTTATGCTCCATATTTACATTTCGGTGGGTGGCAGGAGCAGAAGCTTAGAAGCCACGGTGCATTTGATGGTCCTGGTGTTTATTTCATATCCAAACTCTTGCTTATTAAATCAGAACTTCTGAGACTTCTGTGCGAGACCTGAGTGGGAGGGAAGAGGTTTTGTAACCAGGAGAAGAATGTGTTTATCGGTATTTTGGGGTGTGTGAGAATAAGAAAGTTGGTGGAAACTCATGATGTCCTGTCTCATTCTGGTGCTCCGGCTTTTGCTTGCTCACAGAAGGTGTCATTGCAAGGTCATTGGGACAGAGCAGTTGGTTCCTCCTCTCTCCTCCCTGGCGGGATGTTTGGTTGCCATTCTGGTTACCACTTTTGCTCTGTGGAGCTTTGCACATCTTTACCAGTCTGTGCTGAGATGCAGCTGGCCAGGCAAAGCCCAAAAACTCTCCTCGTCTTGCATGGTGAAGCAGGTATTGGTACGGGCAACACTTGGATAGCATCATCTTCCCAGGAATTCCGTAACACCTCTGCTAGCTCAGTCTGCAGGTTTCTCAGTGCCGGCAACATGCATAACTCTTGGTGGTTGGAGACTACCGCCCAGCTCACTGAAGGAGCTGGGAAACCCTCTCATATGGGGGCGGGATTGACAAGCTTCACTTACACTTTTATTTGGAAGGTGGGGACTGTGGGGAGGGAAATTCTTTCATAGACTCATCAAAATCCACTTCACTTAATACAGGGAAGAAAGAATGCTGCCCAAACCCTCTAACACCCTCTCACTTCCCTGCTTCCCACTCGGTGTGGTTGGCGCGCCTGGGAATCACCCAGCGGGTGAAATTGCTGGCATCTCCCGGTGATCATCTCTTTTGATGCCAGCTGGGAGCCGAGGAGGAGCTCCTGGCACCTCTGCTGGGTGTTTGCCCAATGTGACCACCTGCTTTTCACAGCTGGAATAAAAGCACCCAGAGCTTTATGCTGGCCTTTGATTTGCCAAACACCTGGTTTTAACAAGGGTTGGACCACAGTGAGGGCAGGGAATGGGTTAAAATGAGATCTCCGAGAGCTTTCCCAGCACTGGAAGATCATGGCCTTTCCAAATTCTCCTCCTCAGGCGTTGCCTAGCATCTGTCACAGTGGCCCAGTAATCTAATTAACTGCCACTCAGCTATTAAATATTGCAGCAAAGTGTGAGGACTCCATCATTTTCCACTCAGGTCAATGGGGCATCCCTTTAAGAGCCATCCTAGAGCTGAAAATTAATTTTCTCTGGTAGCAGATGTGTCTGAACATTAAAGCTCAACACCAGCTGCACTGCTGGGAAAAGGAATAGGGAATATTTTGAGGTGGGAGTTGATTCTTCAGCCCCTGACTAAAAAGCAGTCTGAGAAGTCAGAGACTTTATTTTCCTCTCCTACCTTTTTTCCTCCGTACTGTATTTGGGTTGTTCAGACCTAATAAACAGCTCGGGGGGGTTGTAAGAATTCCCCCCCTCCTTGTAATCTGGAGCCTGGCACAAGCATAAGAAAACTAGGAACTGTAATATGCCAACCTGCAAATCAAACCGGTGAAAAGTCAGTGCGTGAGGGTTTTATGTGCTTTTTTGGCTTCACTTCCACTCTTCGGTTAAAAGAAGTATTTAAAATATACATGAGTTCTTGCCAGACAGCATGCCTCTTCACTTCATTTTTCTAGAGACTCAGTTTAAAAAAAAAAAAGAAGTTATTGTTATGGTCTCAGACACCGTGACAGCTCCTTAAATAAAGCAGCAAGACCACGAGTGAAGGCCAGAGCTGAATGCATTGCCCACGCCCCACCAGCCATGACCCACACGCTTGTCTTGGCTTTCCTGGCTGCACCTGTGCCAAAACTGGGCTCGGGAGCTGGGGTAACTGGCTATAGGGTCCTACGACTACCCCATCATCCTACAGCAGGTCTAGCCAAGGGATCTTCTGGCTTGCAGCTCCCACCGCGTGCGGTCTCTGCGGCAGCATCCTATGGGATGGTTGCTGTGGTTGCTGTAGGATCTTTCTTCAAGAAGGGGCACCCAGAAGGCAGGTTGGTGCCCCCGTGCTGGAGTTCTTTGGGAATGGTAATCCTATGGGAACCCCTTGCAGCTGGAGAAGGCTTAGGAGAGCCCATCCAAGGTGCCCTCGGAGCAGAGCAAGCCGGGCAGGTAGGGAAA